AATTTTCTTCAGTGAAGATTGGAATAGAAAATCTTCATGTCAACCATGTATAATTGCAGATTTCCATTCTGTTGACAGTATAGAACAATTCTGTAATGCCAGTGTAAAATAATCTCAATGAATTGTCGTTTTGGGTTCCATCATGAATTTAGGAAGCTGAATGAAATTCTCTACTTCCCATCCCTTGATCTCTTTACTCTTTCTCCCCTCTCTCTCTCTCTGATAGAAATGTCTTTGCGCAGACTTACTATAACTTGGTCTTGCTTGATATATCATTGTTCATTGTAGCTAGCTGAACTCCTCCAAGATGAAGTCAAGATAAGTGCATGGTCAACAGCAAGGTCTTTTGATACCTGAGCCCACTCAGTCTTCTACTAAAATTGTTCAAGCATCAAAATAGCTTGTTGAACAAATTGTAGAAGCACATCAGAATTTGATGATAAACCAATAAGTTCAAGAGGAATATTCCAGTTCTTCATTTTCCACAGAATTATCAATACAGATAAGATTTAAGACAATCCTCAACGAGCAGGAATGAGGATGTGAACTTCTTGTTTTCACCTGTAATACAACTTCCAGAGGGAGAATGAAGATGTTCAATTGAACCTACAGGTCAAGTAAAGAGTTTACATTCTTCAATACAGATATATTTCATTAGATAGAGATGCTACACCGATTGAAATAAAACAGAACAGTAGATGCTGGCAGGCCAGTAGTTTTGCCAGCAATTTCAGTTTTTGTTTGCTACACAGACTGAAGATGGGCTGAAAATGATTCCATAATAGCTAAAACTGTGGTGGAACGATAGACAGCTACAGATTAAAGATACAATGAAGTAGAAACTAACTGGCAGAAATTTAGGATACGGTCAAGAAGAAACTACTTGGTCCAGAAATGCTGTCATGAAGAAATCCAAATATTACAAAAATGAAAGTGCACGTTTCAACATCCGTCTTCAGAGGTATATTCAGGAGATTAACAGTCCCCCAGATGTTGAAGGGTCACGGCCTAAAAGAAATAGTTCTCCTGCGAAAGAAATTCAGGAGACAAGGGTTTTCCAGTTAAGCTTCCAGACTGACCATCCCATTTAGTAGGAAAAAAAACTGTCAGGGAAGGCTTCCAAGAAATTAAACAATTTTCTTGTGTACAGGTACTTTAACAGACCACACAGGCTCAAGACAAAACCAAGGTTAAACAGTCCTGAAGCAAAAGACCTACTAATCTTCAAAGTCCAAAAAGAGCATGTTCTGAAGAATTATGAAATTGAGGGTTGGCCATTGTCACTATGATGTACATAAACATATAAATGTTAACAATCGGGGAAAAAAGGCTTGGGAGGAGATTATATTTCTGAAACTGTTAATGCTGGAGACTCTGCTAAACTCTGCCCACCCAGATGTTATAGAGCGAAGATTTATTTTCTTGGTCTCCTGGTTGTCTTAGTAACAATGTCAATCTTACTAATGTAATTTGTACTCAATTCACGTTGTGCCATAAACAACATCCTTCTTAAGATAAGAGCCTATTCTCGTCAAGTCTGAATTGGTGGCAGCAACTTTACCAATCACAAGGTGTCAGTGGTTGGCATTCCAAAAGATACAATATATTTTCAAACAAGAATACTAAAAACTATTTTCTACAGTTTGTCTCCTTATTTGAACAAAATATCTAGTTGTCTTAGAAGCAATTCAGAGAAGATTCATGTGACTCATTCCTGGGATAAAAGACTTATGAAGATAGATTGAATATGTTATGCCTATATCTACAGGGGGTTTCAAAGAATAAGGTGATCATCATGGAAGCAGGCCATTCAGCCCATCAAGTCCACCCAGACCCACCTCCTATCCTATCCCTGCATTCCTCCCCCCGACACTATGGGCAATTTAGCATGGCCAATCAATTTAGCATGGCCAATCCACTTAACCTGCTCATCTCTGGACTGTGGGAGGAAACCAGAGCACCCAGAGGAAATCCATGCATACACGGAGAGAATGTGCAAACTCCTCACAGACAGTCGCCTGAGGCTGAAATTGAACCCGGGTCTCTGATGCTATGAGGCACCAGTGCTAACCACTAAGCCACCATGCTGCATCTTATTGAAATATGAGGGTACTCAATAGGGTGGATATCAAAAACATCTTTTATCTTGTAGCGGGAAGACTAAAACTAAACACAGTTTAAGAATAAATAGATCTCGTTTAAAATCATTAGATATAGGAGTAGAAGCAGGCCATTCAGCCCGTGTGTCTGTTCTGCCATTTAATGAGGTCATTGTTGATCAAATCATTCACAATTCCACTTTCCTGCCTTTCTCCCATTTGCCCTTATTCCCTTACCGATTTAAAAAAAAATCGGTCTGTCTCAGCACTGAGTATTCCTAATGACCAAGCCTCAACAGCACTCTGTGGTAAAGACTTTCACAGAATCACTACATGAAGAAATTCCTCATCTCATCCTAAATTATCTTATCCAACTATTCCCTCTAGTCCAAAACTCTTCGACCTGGGAAAACAACCTGTCCTCATCTAATCTGCCCAGCCCCCGAAGAATCTTGAATGTTTCAATAGGGTTGTCTCTCATTCTTCTAATCGCCAATGAATACAGGCCCAATCTACTCACCCATCCTGATCTGAAAATCCTTCCATGCCCAGGATCACATTTTGTACAGCTTTAGCAAGACTCCTGGTTTTATACTCCGTTCCCTTTATTTTAGAGGTCAACATTCCATTTGCCTTCCCTGCTAAACTTGAATGCTTGCCTTTTGTGATTCGTGCACAAGGATCAGCAAATCCCTCTGTGCCAAAGCTTGCCGCAATCTTTCTCTATTTAAATAACACTCAGCTCCTCTATTCATTCAGTCAAAGTTCACAACCTCTCATTTGCTTAAACTGTTTATATCCCTTTAGAACATAGAACAGTACAGCACAGTACAGGCCCTTCGGCCCACAATGTTGTGCCAGCCTATTATCCTACTGTAAGATCAAACTACCCTGCATGCCCTACATTTTACTATCATCCATGTGCCTATCCAAGAGTCGCTTTAATGTCCCTAATGTATCTGACTCCACGGCCACCGCCGGCAGCGCATTCCACGCACTCACCACTCTCTGTATAAAGATCTCTTTGCAGACTATCATCCTCATCATTCTCCTTCCTACCTATTTTTGTGTGATCCACATACTTGTTGATAATAGATTTGCCTCCCTCATCCAAATCAGTTATGTAATTTGTAAATAATTTTCCTAGCACTGAACCCTGTGGTACTACTATAGTTTTATTTTGTCAGCCTAAAAATGACCCCTTTATTCCAACTCTCTGTATTCTAATACAGCCAATTGTCTATCCATGCTAATATACTATCCTCAATGTAATGGGCTCTTAAGTAGGCTTATGTACAGTACCTTGTCAAATACTTTTGGAAAACAAAATATTACATCTTCTGTTTCCCTTTTACCTATTCTGCTTATTAGAATTCTTTGAGATGGTAATAATATTGTGAGGCATAATTTACCCATCAATAGTCATACCAACTCTGCTTGATTACTATTTCTAAATGCACTGCTATTGCATCCTTTATAATAGATTCTAAATTATCCAAATGGCAGATGTTAAGCTAACTGGCGTATTGTTTATTTATATCGTTCCCTTTTTGAATTTGGCAGTTCTCCAAATCTCTGGGATTTTTCCAGAATCTAAGGATTCTTTGGAGATTACGACCTGTGTCACTTTCTCTGTACCTACTTCTTTTAATACCCTAGGATGCAACCCATCAGGTCCAGGAGACTTATTGACCTTTGACTCCATTAGTTTCCCTAGTGATAAATACTGTATTTTTCTCCCTTGATATAGTATTTTTTGGAGTGTTGTTTGTTAAGTGTCCTCCACCATAATGGCTAATGCAACCTCTCTGTCATTTCCTGGTTCCATTATTGTTTCCCTAGCTTCATTATCCAACGAGCCTTTATTCACTTTGGCCTCTCTCTTCTGTTTTATTTAAAGAAACACATTCTTCATATTACTTGATGAGAGAAGATTCTTTGTTTTTGGAGGGTATTAATACGTGGAATTCTTTTCCTGAAAAGCAGTGGAAACTGGGATATTGCATTTATTCAAGGCACAGTTAAATAGATTCCCCTGCCTTTCGAAAATCAAGGGTTATGGGTTGCAGACAGGAAATGAAAGTCACCATGATCCCAGAGAACCATAGGCTGCTCTCCCATCAGAGGTGAGTGGCAAGTTTAACTGGAGAGTCAATACACCTCAGGCAACGGACAAGGTTCAAAAAGCAGAGGCTTCATGGTGACCTCAGCAGTATGGAAATTGAAGCTATGCAGTTGGCATCCCTCTACATTGCAAACCAACCATCCAGCCAACTGAGCTAAGACAGGAACATGGCATTGATATGACAAGGCCTTTTTGAATCACAACACCAGGTTATAGTCCAACAGGTTTATTTGAAATCACAAGTTTTTGGAGCGTAGTCCCTTCGTCAGGTGAAGTGCTATGAAGGGGCTAAGCTCTGAAAGCTTGTGATTTCAAATAAACCTTTTGGACTATAACCTGGTGTCACGTAACTTAACTTTTTCCACCTCAGTCGAACACGGGCATCTTCACATCTTGATCTCTTTGAAAAGCAGAACAGACTTAAATAACTTTTGCTTGCTGTTCAGTCCTATGTTTGTTCTCAACAACTGTTGCCATCCAGAGATTTTACACTGAAACTGCATACAGATTCTAAGACTTTGAAATTCATCGAAGTGAACAGTGATAACACCATAGACACCAAAAGTCACCAGAGACACTTTAAAGCATAACTGGCACTGCAGGTAAAGTGCTAAATTTGATAAAACAAATTTTGTTAAAGACAATAATTTTCAATGCACTTCAACTAGAATATTCCAATTCCTTTATTTTAGCTCAAGAGCTTTTCAGAAGCTCTTTCTGAAGAAATTTGAGATTTAAAGCTGAACAATTTTAAAATCAAATCTTCAAAACTTTACCTGAGAGAGTGACAATTCCAGTTGGTTGAGATTGAGAACGTAGATATGTGTTGCAGAACTCTGCTGATTCCAATGCCAAGAAAAGTACATTACCAAGAAAGTATCCTGCTGTCTGTCCAACTGAATTGCAAGTAGAAGCAAGTCCTACATTTTCTTTGGATAGCATAGTTAATGCCCAGCCATCCACTGCTATATCCTGAGTGGCAGCCAGAAATCCAAATATAAAGAACACAACTGTAAGTTTAACAATATTGGGGCTAGTGTGTTCATCACTCTTCAGTAATGCATCCACTTCAAATGACAGACAAAGCATAAAAAGACCCAAAAAATACTGAGTTGGCACCAACCAAGATTTCCTCCGCCCAAAGGTTGGAAAATAAGCAGCATCCACTAAGGGCGCCCATAGTAGTTTTAAACTGAAAGGCCAAAACACAAAGCTATACATAGCTTGGTCTGAATAACTAACATTTTTGCTTTGTAGTATAAGTGGGATGCTCCCAGCCAAACCAAGTGGAATTCCTTGCAGGACATAAAGGAATAAGAGCAATAAAATGTTATTGAAATCATTTGAAAGGACTATTTTATGATCAGGTTCCAATAATCCGCTGTCATAGTTTTCTAAAAGGCTTTTGTTTTCATCCATTTCCAAATTGGTTTCATGGTTCCACACATCATTTTGTGCATGCCAAGCTTCAATGGGATTACGAACACGTTGCCTGCTCCGTTCTTTGGGTATATCTGATGACGGCATGTCAGATCAGAAGACTTAGCTCAGTTCTTCAATCAATACATCACATGAGGAGCCTAAAAACAAAAATAGTCAGGAAAATGTTATAAAATTTCAGTCAAAAATGTTGTCCATAATGAGCAGTTAAATATTTCTGGATGCACTTACTTAGATCACAGATTTTCTGCATGTTAAAGAGCAATTTCCATTTTAATTAAGAATTTCCCTCAACAATACTTAACAGCCTGAGTCTCAGGAAAACATTTCTGCAGCCTGTGTGTATTGTTTTAATTTCTGTATGCTATTTGAATTGAAGCCCTACTACAGTAACCTTAATTGCTGAATTTCAAGCTGTTTCTAAATTGAAATGCACAGAAAGCACAAATGATCAAACTCATTTTATTCAGAATTCTCAATAACCAGGAAGAATCAACTATCAACTCTGTTGAACACATTTCCACCAGAACTGATTTTGAATCCATGTCTCAAGAAGAGAAAAAATCAGAACAAAGTTATTCAACACTGGTATTTAAAATTTTTAACACATACTTGTTATCATGACTTGTTCAGACCAGATCATATTTATGGACTGCAGTACCTGTGATCATGATTTCTTTGAGTTAGGTGGCACTACCAAAGAGTTGCTACTGTTAACTTAAACAATTTAACTCATATGTCTTTAGCTGCATTTTTAAGATAAAAACTTCCCTCATTACTTAAAAATCTTTTGAATAGTAGAAACTATAAATCTTGTAAATAATGGTGAAGTAATTGTTTGTTAGTGGACTTTTTAAAACAAAGAAATCAGACTGAACTAACTTTGCAAACATCACTGGAGTCATAAATTGTGTATCATTTGGATCCAATATTTGGTACTTGCTGGTAGCACACAATAGCCAACTCTACACCATAATTGTAAGAATAAAATTTTTAATGTGTCCGGAGCATAAAGAAAGGAGCAAGCTATGAATATGGAAAATAGTAATGTGTATCTACAGGCTTAAAACGGGCTGATATGTGAGGAACTGTAGGAAGGTATAGGAGTTCTGATGGTTCAAAAGGGCAAAGTGACAAATTTGAGTTTTATTCTCAGGGATTCCTCCTACAAATAGAAACAAATGGCAGAGGCTCCAGGTTTTATATTCTAAAGGACCCTTTAAATTGTTCATCAGTTTTCCAAAATAAATTAAGTATTGCCTGCTCCACTCGACTAGATTTTAAATGATTTATTCTTTCCTCCTCTTTTGCAGACTCAAATTTGTACTGCGCTTACTTAAAAATTTCTCAGATTATAAAATTAATACAAAATTCAAATTTCCTCTGAATTGAACACAATAAATTTTAATCATTGAAAACAATTCTATAGTGCAATGCAAAAGATATAAAACATGAAGTGAAAAACATACCAACAGTAAGAAAATAGTTAAACAGACAAGGTGACCAGTAAAGAATCAGCAAAGATCTTTCCGCAGAGACACAGAGCATGGCTGAGACTGAATATTTTGCATTTGTCTTTCACCGAAAGAGGATGCTTCCAACATCACAGTAAAGGAGTAGATATAGGGAAAATTGATAAGATAAGAATACAAAGTGGAGATGCTTAAAGGTTGGCATCATCGCTGAGAGAAATCAGGGTGGACAGAGTCGAGGCTCTGTCTAAATCTTCCATGATAATGGGAGCAGACCAAAGGTCTGCTAGATTGCAAATCACAGAATCCATACAATGTGGAAGCAGGCCATTCAGCCCATTAAGTCCACAACAAGCTTCCGAAGAGCATCCCACCCAGACCCGCCCCTTATCCTCTCCATGTAGCCCTGCATTTCCCACGGCTAATCCACCTAGCCTGCACATCCCTGGAGACTATGGACAATTTAACATGGCCATTCCACTTAATGTGCACATGTTTGGACTGTGGGAGGAAACTGAAGTGCCTGGGGGAAACGCACAAAAACACTGGGAGAATGTGCAAATTCCACACAGACAGTTGCCCGAGGGTGGAATTGAACCCATGTCTCTAGCACTGTGAGGCAGCAATGCTAACCACTGAGCTACTGCGTCGCCCTAATGTTACACATTTGTTGAAAAAGGGGGGCAGGTAGTAAACTCAGTAATTACAGGGCAATCAAGTTGCAACAATGGTGGAGAAACTTGACACCTGGGGGAAAACAGGTTCATAAAACGAAAGCCTAAAAGAATTTGTTAGAGGCAAATCATGTTTGATTAAGTTCATAGAATTTTTTGGGGAGAGAAGCGGGACTATTGTTAA